ACAGACACACCACACACCACACACCACACACCACACACCACACACCACACACCACACACCACACACCACACACCACACACCACACACCACACACCACACACCACACACCACACACCACACACCACACACCACACACACACACACCAGCACGCTAACACGCTAACACATAAAGTCACCCATATACCAACACACTACGATGGGCCCTCTCAAATTGGTGAGCTTGATTGACCTCAAGTGCTGCCCCCGCCGTTTCCCAAATTCAGCTCGGCCGCGGCCACGGAGCTGGCATCGGAGGTCCTTACCGTCATTGCGCCAGGCGCCAGCCCGGCCGGCGGAGTCTCCCCTGCACTTTGGCCGCTCACTGGTTTGCTTAAAAATTGCATGACAACCCCAAATAGCAGGCTTCTTGCAGCCCTTTTTACAACGAAGCAGTAGCGGCCAAGTAGCTGCATCGAGTTTTGGGAATGGACAGTTCCTATGCTCCTTTCTTCTTCTAGAAGCCGACTATGGCAAGAAAGGCAGCTCGGGCACAAAGAAGCTGCGGCGCGGTCCAAGCGGTCACCGGGGCATGAGGGTCTGCTTCAAGCGCCGAAACAAATGAACGGAGGACTTTGAAGCCAAATCTAGTCATGACAATGGTACAATATTATACCTCTTGCTTTGGGTTTTCCTTGCTTTTTTTTTTACTTGCCCGCCTATACTTGGCTGTAAAAGGGGTCAGGGCTTGCACGCCGTAGAATTACCTCCTATAGCCTTGGGTGCTCTTCAGGTCCGAAAATTATCGTGGGTCAAAACCGGGCTGTTCAAACGGTTTCGCAATCACCGGCAGGACAAGCCCATTGACTTTGTCCTGGGTGAGTTGACTAGTTCGCTCCCAGAATTCCAAGCCACAGAACTGAGACGCATGTAAGAACAAGGATTGGTCATGACCACTCCTCACTTGTACGCTGTCCTTTTGCCACCACACGAACAATTCGGCCAATACTAGGAGCTGAACACCGCAAACAAAAAGGTCGACCTTGGGCCAAGATGTGTCACGCCTTAGGTTGCAACCTTGCCGTGCGTTTTGCATGGAACAGGCCTTGGGGAGTCCGGCAATGTGTTTTGCAGCCAGGTTTTGAGAGAAATGCTCACTCGTCACGTCACAAGGAGGCTATAAGTTACTCGGAAACATAGTTATCGGTCCATGGCCGCAACCTACGTAGCTGTCTCGTTTTTGAGGGTACCCTTTTGTTTGAAGATTTGAAAGGAATACAAAAGGAAAGCGAAGCCGGCCTTATAAGTCTAGACCCCTATGAGACAAAGCTGCGTTTAAAGAGCCGTCCGCGCACGAGATGACGCACAGCTCCATCTTCTGATTCTCCACCAGCTCAAGAAGCTGCAGGGCTCTCTGCCACTGCCCGCCCTTCCTGCCGAGAAGCAGGGCAAAGGAGTTACTCCCCAAACGGGAGGAATCCCACAAAGCAACATGTGTAACAAAAACAAGAGGTAAGCCAAGGCTGCTATGCAAAATCTCTCAACCCCTCCTAGTTTCCCATGGTATCTAAAAGTACCCTGCTTCATGTGCAGGAAATCTCCTTTTGTTGGACCCTCCTTGTGGCTTTCCAGGTCAATTTGAAGGGACGAATCCATCTGATCAAACACCAAAACGGTTTCCTTTTTGGTCCGGTGGACAAGGTATAAGTATTGGTCTTGGTTGCTGCAACGACCCCACTGCAAAACGTGCATAACTGTTCGTAGGTTCAATGAAAAACTATCTTGATTTCAACCGGAAAAAGAGAGTGAAAAGTCTGAAGATCCAACCCAAAAGCAATCAAGTGGACTGAAAAAGCAAAGTGCGCACTGGGCTGCCCTCAGATCCCCCCGCTAAAAGTTTAACTCTGAGTGGGTTAAATGGAAACCCCCACTAAACACTAAAAGTCTAAAAAGCTAAGGAACCGGATGGCTGGGAGCCACCAAGCGCATATTTCAAAACGCATCGCTGTAGATACACCCAGGAGCCTTCCGACGCGATGCAGCCGAGCGTCTCCAGGGCGCTGAGCGCGGCATTGTAGCTGATCTCATCTGCGCGCAGGGAGCGGCCTCGGGATCCGGAGGCGTCGGACACAAGAGGAGTCGGCGCGGTCCATGTTTTGGTGAACTTTGTGTAAAATATGGGCATGGGTCAAAGCCCAAATCGTACCCCCAGTGAACATCCTAATCCAACCACTAAAATAGGTTCTAAAATGGAGGTGCACCTGCCCCAAATGGTACCATATCTGGGTGAATTATAACATTTCAGCCTGGAAGAAGGTGGGAGGGATATGCCCCACATAAACCACCATTTGGGGTGAGGTCGTGTGAGGTCGTTATAATTCACCCAGAAATATTCGCTCACAAGCGATCCATGCTGGGTTTCCTGTTGGCTTCCCTTTCAACGCCACCCAAAAGGAGCCACCGCAATTTGTGGGACACGCCCAAATATTGTCAGACGGATCACGCCCAAAAGGGTGCGCCTCAAAACGGGGTTTTCTCCGGCCATGTCTGTGATCATTTGGCCGCTGAAGTTTTGGCTCGGACGAGGGCACCTGAATCAGGTTGGTCAGCGAGGAAAACCCTACACCCCTCACAGATCGCCGTTACTTGGCACGACAGGTTCTGTTCAGAAGTGTAGAACCACCGAAAGGAAAAACATAAGCGTTTTTTTTGCAAAAGCAAGGCAAAAGGATACCGTCAGCAAAAACACATACATAATTCCTATCAAATCAAGCAGAAAGCCGAGGACGGTTTTGTGCTCGACGCGTCCTTTTTCCGAATGGCCGTGAGTGAAGGAGGCCGTATCGTGGCCTTCATCTTTGAAACCATGGAATCCGCTTTGGCGACTTCAAACAACCGTTTTGGAAATTGTTGCCCAAAGTCTTGTTTGCCGATGAAATTGTTGCACAAAAGCGTCCCCCTCCCTCTTGGAACAAGCAGAGCCAAACAAAACACAAAGACACACTCAACATCTTGCAGTGAGCCCGTTGCTTGTCACATAAATCTGCCTTTCTTTTTTTGGGGCCTCCAATAAGGGTGCGATGAGGCTCTTGGGTCAACTTGCGCCGAAAAGCTTTTGACTACCAATGTTGAAAAAACACAAATCGGAAGCCCTGGCACCCCCCCGGTCACCCCCCCCCCTCCGGACCGACCGAAGAATTTCCGCCTGGAAGCTCCTCCAAAAGCCTCAGCACCTTGCGCCACTGCCCCGCTTTTTCGCAGGCGCTGATGGCCGCGTTCACCGTGACCAGGTTCCTCCGAGCGCTTGGCGCAAGAGGCAGGAGAGATGGAATGCGAGAAATCCCCGAATTGGCTTCCTTTAATGGAATCTGCTGGTGCATTCCCTCATTCCTGCTGAGCACCAGCAAGGCCACAAAATGGCTTATGCATTTTCACCGCTAAACCGGTCTCCCAACTTTTAGGATTCCAACCTGCCCTCCTCTAACCCTCTTCTCCCACATAAGGCTCAATTCATTGGGTTCTCTCAATGGGAAAGCCCATAAAGGACCAAGCAGGTTCCTTGCTCTCGTCAACTCTCCCTCTGTTGACCGTGAGGCCACATCTCCCATCTCAATTTCAGCTTTGCGTGTCTCTGATTGCATTACCGCTCGACCAGCAGTGCCCTGAGTCCTGTGCGCCTTTTCAAGCTGCCCCATGACGGAAGCTAGGAGCTAGGATCGCGATCGTATACTTGTACATGTGAATGTTCATGTTTACTAGTTGTGGGCCAAAGTGAAACACATGAGCTTTGCTTGGGGCAAGCGCAGTGCTCAGTGCTTCATGGATGTTCAGGCTGGGCGTTGTCGTCCAAGATGCGGATCATTGTCCAAGAGCTGCAGCGCCTGCTGCCACTGGCTGCATCGTTCACCTCGGCAACTCTCCACCCGCAACTGGGAGCAGCGCTCCATACACTTTTTCCCAGGTCACGAAAGAAAACTGCAAACGGGTCTCCAAACCATATGCAGGATGTATGGTCAAGGAACAGCCCCTTGGTTCGTGGCGGGGGTACGCCCTCCCTTCCAGATATTGCTTTAGGGGGGATGATGGGACGCAGCTGCTTCCGAAGTGTTCCGCAGCAGCACTCCAGGCATCGTGTCCAAATGGCCAGCTTTTTTGATACCAAACCACCCACAAATTATTGAATAAGGGCAAGTGGTGCTGCCAGTGCTGCTCAATAACTCGCCCTGGGACTGCAACAGTTTTGCGAAAACTGACTCAACTGCAAGAGAGCCAACTCATTCAACCAAAAAAACACCTCTGCCCACCCCTCTCCTCCCACAATGAAACGCACGCAACAAGCGGGGCCCAACTGCTTTGCTCCTCTTTGCCTCTTGCTTTCAAGGGCCAACATGCAGCGAGACTTGGAGAGCCACCTCCTATAGGAACATCATGTGGCACCACCACGTTCCTACTGAAAACGGATGAACAAAAAGCCCTGCTTCAATGCAAGAACCCATCGTCCAAGAAAATGGGGGAGGGGGGGTCTCAAATGATATAGGGTTGTCTTGAACAAGAGGACCCCCGCCCTTGAACAAAAACACTCGGTGTCCTTCAAGCTGCCCTTGCAAATTACGCCAAGGCTGCCAAGGAGACAAACTTCAAGCAATAAGACTGACCGTATTTACGGCTCACACGGTTGCCTCCCCAAAAACAAAACAAACAACCGAGAAGAACTTTGGGTATCAAAAAGGACATCCGTTCCCGAAATGGGCAAAGCAATAAAGGATCAAGAAACGACGTCTCATCTGCAAATTCAACGGCCATCAAAGCCGACATCCCGGCAATGTTTTTCTGAGCAAGCCGATGCAATGGAATAGAGCATCTTGGGAGTAGGCCCAGAAAGAATCAAAGAACACTTATGGCTCTGAAACAGTCCCAAGCGACATGTCCAAAATCACCCTCTCCAAGGTTGCTTGAAGGCCAAAGCACCCGGTGACACTCCGTTAGGTAAAACGGGCCCAATTTTTCATTCTTGCCGCGGGGCAGGCGGAAATCGCCGTGCTGTAGGTGAAATCGTTGGGCCTCACAACTGCGTAATCCATCTTCCGCATCAGCTGCACTGTGAGCTCCCAAGCCTCCGAATGGCTTAGCGCCCAAGCTTCCAAAAGGCGCACAGTTCGGGGTGCTGTATGGGGAACCCCGCAAATGGAGCTGCAAGATTCCTGTTGGTTTCCCTTTTCAACAGCAAAGCGGACGCTCTCCAAAAATATCTTCGGAGGTTGATACGCCGATTAGCAACCTTTATGTACAAAGGCTTTTCACATTCTGGCAACCATGGCCGGCAAAGGTTAAGAATCCTGCGGTGGTTGCTTTTCGTTTAAAGCCCTTTTCGTGTTCCCCTATTTGGGGACCCCGTGCTTGCGCTTCCACGATCTGACGCCTCTAGGTGATGTGGTGCAGGAATCCGTCTAGTCACTGTAGACTTGAACTCACCCATCTTCCGCAGGGAAATCAACTGTGGGGAAATCAACCACCCTGGGTTGCAGCCCCAACAAGGTTAGCCTTAAAAAAAAATCAGAGCCGTATGCCCGGGTAATGCGGTCAACACCTGGTCCGCTTCATTCCAGGCCTGTCCTCTGCCACAGGCGCCTCGGAAACGGGAGCTCCAACAGGCCAAACAAGGCCCAAGACTTCAGACCTCAGGACCCATTCGCTGGGGTTTCAAAGTGAAAGCTGGTTCTCCCTTTACCTCGGACAATACTTCCTTGACCCCAATATGTTTTTAAATGTGAAAGGATCCTTTATCAAGGCTAAGGACCTCCACCTTCGTTGGCTGCAGGTCAGGCTCACCAACCTGAATTCAGGTCCTTTATGTGTGGAATCGTTCATCTGCTCACGTCCGCCAAGCTATGATGGGGTTGCTTTCCTTTTGACTTGGACGAAATCCTGCACCACCTAAGAAACCCTGGTATGATGATCCCCTGTAAATACCAACCATCAATGGCTTCCCATGGTCGCAAAGTGGTGCAGGATTTCGTCCATCCACAGTAGGAGTGCAATCTTCCCACTGATTGCATGAAAGTTCGTCCGAGTCCCCGTGGCGTAGATGTTTGCCCCCGACGCACTTCTTTCATCAAGCGCCCTTGGCGGCCTTTCCTCGTGGCTGCGGGGTTGGACCATAAGTCAGGGAGTGAGAGAAAGCTGGAAACAAACCTCTTGGCATACGTGACCTCTTGGAAAAAAAAGAAATAGATGGCCCAGTGTAACCCACCTAGTTTTCCAACCCAACACTGACCTAAAAAGGACACCTATGCCTTTGGTTTGCAAACTTGAAAAGGGGGAACGCCTCCGCTAGCCACAGCTTTTCGTCTGGGGAGTTTAGACATGGCTGAACAAAACCAAGCAGTTGGGACCTGGGTGCTGGCAGCGCATCCGTTGCGATTCCCAGTTTCCAGTCCAAGGCACCCATGGCGGCAGTGTACGAGATCACGCTGAGCTCCAAACCGGCCACCTGGAGCTGCGATCAATTCAAAGGCGAGCTTCCAATTGCGAAACGAAGGGGGGTCGAAAAGGGAGCGGCACCCTTTCAGGGGTTTGCTGAGAGATAAACACATAAGCCTACCATATTTTCCCAAACTTCTTTCCTTTTTGGAGGGGGACATTTCAATGTCCCCCCTCCAGCACCTCTTTGCAACCACTTTCCCATTTTTGTTTTTTACGGAGACCCATTTTGCCAACATGACATTTGTTTTTGTAGGGGGACGTCTTCGTCAAGGATCCCTACATCATACACCTGAACATTGCCTTGTAAATGGTGGTGTCCCTTTATTTTGGTGGAAAAAGCCATGTTTCAAATTGGCAAAATGTATCTTTTAAGGAGCCCTGTTCATACCCACCTCAAAACACAAAAAAGGCCGCCCAACCCCCGGCACCGCCTGCGCGATGCTGAGCGCCTGAAGCGCCTGCCGCCATTGACTCTCGGCCTGGCAGGCGCTGACCACCTCAGCTTCTCAGCAAACGGCCCGCGGAGCCAAGTGGACAGCCCCCCCCACCGAAAAATACATTTCTCAGAAGCCCTTCTTCTTTGACCCCCCCCCCCCACCCACGAAGCATGGGCCTAAGTGGCTGCAACTGGAGAAAATGGGTTGTGTTTCTTTACGGTGGGTATAGGTCAACCACCGTCAAACCGCTTGTAAAGACCGTTGCCAAAGCTACTTCAAGGGGCAAGGTGCTTAGTAAGTGGTTAGTAAGCCTGGTTATAACCCACAAAAGCCATGATTACGTGTGCTTCTTGGGTTATAACCAGACTTACTATCCACCTACTAAGCACCCTGCACCTTTAAGTAAGCTTTATTCCTGAGTGGATTGGAACAAATAATTAGATATCCAGACTGCCAAAGAGGGCCATGAACTTGGGGAAGCAAAAGCAATATTCGATGAAGCTTCTTCTGGGATACGAAGAACCTATTTATTCCCTTGGAGGCATGGGAATGACCGTGTGCTGTTGAGAGCATAAAACTTGGAACGCGCGCACAAACATTTGTT